ACCCCGCCCCCACCAAGGCCGCGCGGCCGAGGTCAGTGCCCCGCCAAGGCCGCGCGGCCGAGGTCAGTGACCCCGCCAAGGCCACGCGGCCGAGGTCAATGACCCCGCCAAAGCCGCGCGGCCGAGGTCAGTGACATTACTCTGTAGTATGTATATAATACATATAATACAATATAAAGTATAATATTATAAATATATAATATATAAATTAATACATAAATATATAAATTATATGTATTATTTATATATATATATAATGTTATATATAATATAAATTACAGTCACGTGTAATATTTTTACGTGTTGTTTTTCTACTCTTTCCTGTCACGTGACTTTAGTTACGTTTTTAATTTTCTCTACATATACGACAAAAAGACTGTCTCAAAATCGCTTTTATTATTTACTCTCTTGATCTTACCGATTCGATTCGACTCGTGCCTTTTTTAATATAGGATTACACCAAAATTGTTTTTAGCAATCAAAAAGGACTTTTAAGCAATAGAGAGAAAAAATGTGTGGATTTTAAAATACTCTCTATATTAAATCGTGCAACATAGAAGAAAAAGGGAGAGAAGAATGAAGAATCACGAGAACATCTCACGAATGCGTCCTATTAATATTAATCGTTTATTTCTTAGCCGGAACTTGGCTGGGAGATCGATCTGGACAACCTGGAAGCGCAAATTGACGAGTCGACGGCGGCGATTGTCATCAACAATCCTTCGAATCCGTGCGGTTCCGTGTTCAGTCGCGACCATATACTTGACATTCTCGATATCGCCGCTCGTTACTACGTGCCCATTATAGCCGATGAGATTTACGAGCACATGGTACGTGGCCGAATATTACGCCTTTACCCTCCTCAACTATCAAGTGACAAATCGTTTCATTTGCGGAACAAATAAAGCGCGCGTGCGCGTGCTCTTTTGTGTGTTCCGAAAGGGTGTGCAATTAATTCAGAACGACTATAGATACATGGTGTGCCCGAATCCGGAAAAGGCGCGTCGCGCCTGGTTATTGTGTCAAGAGAATATCTTTCCGTTTGCCGCGTACACGGTATTTAATTGTAATTGTGATTGCAAAGGAAGTCTTTTTTTTTTTTTTTTTTTTTCAATACGAATTTTCTCTGTGCTTTTTGTGATTGTGTTACTAATGTTCTCTTTGAACGAGTTTCCGTGCATTTTTAAGCGACATAAAAAGAATTCATATACACTAAAGTATAAAAAGCACTTCTGACTTACAAACAAAAACAGATTGTTCTGAAAAATTCTATGGAACGCGAAATAAACGTTTGAACACGTGACGATTTTGCGGCAGTTTTACACACCGTATTTACACACGCGAACGAACCATACGTGCGCACCTGTCATTTATGTATAAATGTATATTTTTTTTTTTTTTTTTCACTTCTTTGCTGTTTCCAGGTATTTCCCGGACGGACTTTTCACTCGTTAGCGTCTCTATCGACCGAAGTTCCTATTTTGTCGTGTAGCGGTCTGACTAAAAGGTATGTAGGTATGTACGTGAAGTGACTATGAAATTCCCATATTTTTGGCGCTGGAACTCGGTCGCGAGATTTTGTGTAGCACTCTAGAATTTTTACCGTGCGTAACGTGCCATTTTTGTGTATTAAACGCGACGGCCGAGGAGCTAATTTTCTCCCGCAGTAACAATGTCGCGTTATTTAATATTTTAAATGTTGGACAAGCCTACTAGAGACTCAAAAGTCGACGAGAAATGTAGGATTTTTTTTCCTCCAAACAATACCTCAAGATGACCTAAAATTGATGTTAAAAAAATATCAAGAAATTCAAATAACATATTTATAATTAAATATATGTATATATATATATATATATATTTCTTTTTTTACAAGTACTTTGTAAAATGGTGACAAGAAAACGTCTTTTACGCTCGTTTTATTTGGTTTTTGCGAATATAATTCTGAAAGTGCATCATCCAGACTATTCCACGTCGGGTATTCCAGTTGCTTTCGGTACGTTGCTTTCTATTATCTTCCATTCGCGAGAGAATGGAACGAAAGTAGTGATTCGTGAAGTTGACGGAAGGAATCCTTCGAACGAAAGCGCTCCGTCATAAAATTTTTCACTCGATTTTCAAAAAATAGGACGAAGGGGTTGATTGAGCGTGAATAAAACGTCGCGATCATCAAAGCCGAACGGTGTTCCAAAGTTTCGCGATTATGCTTCCATTATTCCGACGGTATCAGATTTGAAACGCAACTTAATTTACGACCGCCTACGCTACGCCAGTTTTAAATGAGTTCCTGCAGTTGTTGTTAGGTCTTTCGCTGTGTAGCAGCGCGCGCGGTATAATATTTTATACGCCGCAGATTTCGCGGCATGGTACTCCGATATTAACGACGATTCGCGTTTCTCATGCGAATTTTAACGACATGTATACGCAAAAAGCAGATAAAACAATGATGAATAAATTGAATGAACAAGTAAATACCAGATAACAAATGATAATAATAGAATAACAGCGGACAGGGGTTGCGATTTTATAAGTTATTAATTCATTCACCGCGCTTATGAGATTTCGTTACAATATGATATTTAAACCATGTGGTCAAATGACAATTTTGCAGTGAAATGAAATTTATTCCGCAATAAATAAAATTTCTTCCGACACGAGCTGTATATGACAATTCATCGCGTATACGAATTATTATGATTCGCTTCGAATGAAGTAATTGAAAACGTAGGATTGCGCGATTAAGTTTTTTACCATTTTTTTTTACTTAATAGTATTAGTCAAATTTGCAAGAAAAAAAAAACAGAAAAGAGTGGAACAAAAAGTTTACTCTTAAAGGTCTCTTAAAGTCAGTATGCAAATAAGATTATTGCTGCGATATATGTATATATGTATATACAAAATGTATGTATTATACAAATGGATGAATATTTACACAGACGGCAGGATTAATACAGGCAAAATTCCTGTTTAACTCTTTTCCACGCGCTTTCGGCGATAAAAGAATTATCTTGGAGAATAGAGGATACACATTGTGCTTGTAAGCGCATGCTACACTTTTTGCCATTGCGCGATAATCGGCTTCCATGCGCCAAACAATGGGATTGTATGCCGCAATAAAGACAACCTCTGGTCGTCCTCTGTAAAAAAAAAACCTCTTATAAAACTCTTATAAAAGCTCTCTTTTATTTTCGTAACTGGACATTAAGAGAAAAACTTGTCGCACCGTATCGAAAAACAATCCAAACAGAACGATTTATTTATTCTAATAAACTATGTGCAAATTAGCTGCAAAACTTCTTTGTCAAAAAAACTACTACTCAAAAAAGCTTTTGTCTCATAGATATTAACTCTGTAAATATTTCATTTATATTTTACTGCAAATGACTTTGCAGAAATAATAATGAACACTTAAGTCGGAAAATTACCGTGATGTGAGATAAAAGAGAGACGTTTTTAAATTTACAAATAGGATTTGAATAATCGTCTCATTTGTGATTTCCTTTCTTTTTTCTCTCTTTTTTTCTAGATTTCTCGTTCCAGGCTGGCGTATGGGGTGGATAATAATCCACGATCGTCAGAATGTTCTGGAGACCGAGGTAGGTAAACGGTGGTCGAGGCACAATACGTGACAGCCTGAAAATAATTGCTTCTCGGCCGGCATTGTTTCCGTAACGAGGCCGGGCCTGTCCTCGGCGAGTTCGGCACTGCGGATTGGATTAAATTTCGTTGATTAAACTTTATTCCGCTATTAAAGTTCGACCCTTTGGCAACCGACGCCAATCCGTGTTCTTAGTTTCTCGGTGTAAAGGCGGCATCGCGAACTTTAAACCGTCGTCATTACCGAATATTTTTGTGCTTCTTAATAAGTTCGAAAGAGTCATTTCTCGCCGTCCCAGATAGTAATCAGAATGAGGATCTTGATAAATAAAAATCCAATTGACAAGTTTTTACACCACGAGTTTCCAGAGAATTGCGCAAAAACTACAATAACGTGAAAATTGTTTTTTTCTTTCTAGAATAAAAAACATTCAAGCAATTAATCCTTTTTTTTTTTTTCACATAGGAGCACAGTTTTCCTCTCGTTTCATTCACTATTGATGCATCTATTTCATTGTAAATTTTTTCCACGTTGCGCTTTGCAAGAGAAGGCCGAATATTTGGCTTTTTGATAGAATTCTCCTATGGGGTGAGGATCGCACAGGATAGTAAATATCTGTCGATTTGTAGAACGTTCGATGTTTTACAGAGAAATACTATCAAGTTTTCGGAAGTGATTTTGCGCCGAGCTCGACACAAAAAGCTCGATTTTTTGAGAATTTCTACATGAAAAAAAAAAAAAACATTTTTCTGGAATAGCAAAATGATTAGTTACTACATGGCCAGGAAGAACAATTTGCTAAGCCTATTGAATGTTTTATTTTGCAAACAAGACATTTTGTTGGGAAAACAAAAACAATTCACTAGAATCAGTAAATTTTTCTTGTTGGTCATGTAGTAGCAAACTTTTTTTTCCCGTGCACATTTGTTAGAATTTGTAGCCTTAAAAGAGCCTAAGACAAAAGTATTCGCGTATCGAGTCTTTTAAACAGAAAAATAGACGTTTACATATTTTACAAATCTATTACATAGAACAGAAAACGTACGTAAATTAAAACTCGATAAAATAAAATCATCTCTTATCTCTCTCTCTTTGCAATATAAAAGATATCTCCTGTCACGTGTCAATAGTCAAATTTTAATAAACCAGCAAATCTTTAATCTTATTATCTTCCAGATTCGAAAAGGTTTGCATTGTTTGAGTCAGCGAATAATTGGCAGCAACACTATCATTCAAGGTGCATTGCCATCGATACTTCGAAATACTCCCCAAAACTTTTTCAACGACGTTATCCGTACTTTATATGTAAGTTTCATCGAATTTTTGAAAATATATTTCACATATACACAGCATATTTAAATACATATATATAAATTTACATGTAAATTCGAATTCTATCAATATTTCGTATTGCAGATGCATTCCAAACTGGCGTATGATTGTATAACAAAGATCCCGGGTCTGAAGCCGATAATGCCGGATGGAGCGATGTATATGATGGTAATGATTTCCGCTGAAATAAGCCGCACCCTTGCATAATTTCAAGAATCACAAGCGCATTGTTTGACAGCCCGCGGGATAAAGCCGTAAATGTTAATCGGTCGCTCGGTTAAATAGATCGCACAATTAGTCTGTATTCACGACCGCTATTTATACGTTAATGCAAATACCATCAGTAAGGTGGACCGACTGCAATTTACGAGCCATATATTATTGAACCGATTTCCAGGTCTACATCGATCTACCGTGTTTTCCGGAATTTAATTCCGACCTGGAATTCGTGCAGCGACTGCTAATGGAAGAATCCGTGTTCTGCCTACCCGGCCAGGTTCGTTATTTTCTGACTTTTAAATTATCAATCGACCATTTTATATTCCGAATCACACCTTGCAAATACATACACATGTATATATGAAATAGAATTTTTTTTTTTTGAATTGAATTGCACGAGTATTCCATTTTCGAGCATTTTCACCACTCGAAAAACTGCGAGCAAAAATCAAAGAATTATTTATTTATTTTTTTTTTTTGGTAATGATATATCAAATATTTGTTGCGCGATGTCTCGTTATTATTAATTGTATTATATACAAACGCACGCACCGTAACCCGTTTTCCTAAAACAACTGAAAAAGTGTTTTTAAAACCAAATCTATCGCAATTACGTGTTGAAAAAAAAAAGATTAATCTTTGATTTTTTTTTCTATCTAACAACTGATTCGAAAAGAATCAGTTTAATCACGTTATTGCAAAGATAGGGTCAAGTGGCTTGAACATCCTGCTTGGGAGAGAGAGTAATAAAATTTTCCTAATCGCATCCGTATTCTCGCTTGATTTCCCAGTGCTTCGATTATCCCTCTTACATGAGACTGGTAATCACCGTGCCGAGTGACATGCTCGAGGAAGCCTGTCAGAGGATTCAAGAGTTCTGCGAGAGACATCATTATAAAACGGCGGAGATCACCGAGAGGAACAGTCTCGACGAGAAAATATCGTATTAATAATCGATACACGTGTCAAAAACTCGAACGCTCGCGTCGGCTCCGCTGATTATTTTGTCCGATGCGAATACGCGACCATTCTGTCTGAAAAAAAAAAAAATAATAAAACTAAGCGGATCTATATCTTTTAGCTTTGGTTTGCGTCGTTGTGTATATGTACATACGTCTTCTGAATTTGACGCGAGTTTTGTTTTTAAGTGTGTGTAAAGAAAAAAACAATTTGATAGAATATCGAGAAATTAGTTACCATGGTTAGTACGGCCAAAGAAAAAAAAGAAAAAATTTGCTAAAAGCCTATTGAGATATTTTTGCCTCAACAAAATGTTTCGACAAAAACTTCAGTAAACTCAACAATTTTTCTTGTCATATAATAGCAAACATTTTTTTTCCGTCTAAGAATATTATTGTACATGTTATCTTTTCTATTTCTATGACTCGTGGCTCGTAAGTGTTTGTGTTATACGTGTGTATAATAAATATCTGTTTGTAAAAAAAGAAATGTTTTGTGTACGTGTGTGACGTGAAAGGGATTTTTGTTTTGAAATTTAATCCTCTCTCCGTTAATTCCGATTCCATATGAAAAAAAAAAAAAAAAAAAAAAACTGGCACTAATGCGAATGTGAGAGATAACACATCGCTGGATTACATTAACCCTGAGCTATTTGCTTCTTGTTTACATGCAAATGCCGTGTGTTTTGGTTTCAGCTAAGTATATTCCAATAGTATACCACGTACGTATCACTTGCTCATAGACATCAGATGTAAAAAAAAAAAAAACCAACAAAAATTGAATGAATAAAAATTAACTATTGTTTGAATTCGCTCTATTGTGTTCGGATCTTGTTACAAAATATATATATATATATATATATGTACTGACTTTTACGCGTATAGTGTTATCTTACGATCGATGCCAACTTGGGATGTTGCTGGCTACATGCCATAGAATTTCGTTCGAAAGAGCGGCGCGAGAGAAAGAATCAACCTCAAAAATGGGCGGTACCGCTTGTTATCGATTTTATGACAGGAATTTACGTGGCAAAATTTATAAGTTTTTAGATTTTCGAGCTGCGAAACCCGCGACTCCGAAATTTACGAACGAGCTACTGACGCTTTTCGCATACATATCACGAAAAAATTTTGAAAAGAAAATTGGAACGTTCGTTTTTTTTTTGCGTCGGGTCGCGGCAAAATGTATTTTTGTTTTTTTTTGTGTACAAATAATATAAAATAATTATCACCACAAACATGTACACGCATGTGATTTTTCCGCTCGGATTACACGATAGAATACCGTTAGAGGAAATGAAATCTAGTCACACGTACTGTAAAATTCAGATTTTGCATTTGGTTGTGCAAATGCAGTTTGCCGCGCCATTACGGAAATCAAAGCACGCTCACGTATCCACCGCGAGTGTCACACGTTGCACACATGTAATTTTATGCAATGGCGTACGTTGCGGCGTAATTTTTATTGCCGCGTGTACTTTCCAAGTGGTTCCAGGTGGGACGTTTGTGTTTTTCTTTCACCGTGCAGAGGGAAAAATCGCGGCCGCTATAAATCCACCAGCGCGCGAAGAGATATAGCGAACTACAAAAATTAGAAAACACCGAGCAAGCCACCGTTGTTTTCCGTGAGGTGGATTATTTTCATTAACGATTTATGCACTGCAAGACCCAAGCATAATTTCTGCACGTTCTTCGTACAGTTTCGTTACTTTTAAGGTTTTCGAGTTTTACTAAAAACTTAAAAAATAAATATTGAAAACTGTTTGTATCCGCACATCTTTTTAAATTGCGTTTTCATTATTAGACTACTGTTATCGCATTCTTTTTTTTTTTTTTTTTTTTACGTACACACACGCTTTTCTTTTTTCTTTCTTTGTTACCTTTGTACTTTATTACAGTTTAACCAGAAATGACTGCCTCGCGTGCACGATAAACTTCAGTCTCACGTAAATCTCAAGTAATTTAATTAGAGATGCGATCAAGCCATATCTGAACTATCGATATGTGGAACGCGCAGAGAGAGAGAGATACTTAATTGGAAGTGAAATTTGAGCGCTATATTCTACAATAAAAAGATTTATCGGAATACCGTAAAATCCAAACGATCGGAACGTAGCGGAGAATTGGAGTAAATTGGAGAAAAATAAACTAAGTGGCGTGATTTATAAAACTGCGGTTGTTTTCCATTTTCCTGGGCTAAACGGACACTCCAATATTAATACTAAAGCGGTATAAAAAACTTTTCTTTGTACAGTAAAATTTTTTATAATATTGTAAAAGAAGAAATACGAAATTAACTATTTTTCCGTATGTACACAAAAAGAAATATTGATATTTGATTAAATTCAGATATAGATACGTTTTATTGTATATGGTTTTTTTCTCTTGGAGTTATATCATCTTTATAGATTTTTTTTTCTGTCGTCTTTTTCATCGATTTACAATTTTTGATTGGATTTTGAACAAAATTCTCTCACTTAATTTAGATATATATATATATATATATATATATATATATATCATTTTTTGTCAGATTGTAAAGAGTAAAAATATTGTAACAGCAAAAGAAAAGAACTAGATTGCAGCTGATTGTTGCAAGGTGAACGATCTAGACATACCTATTCACTGATATTTCCTGAATCATAGCGTGATGATGTGCAATGATTTCTATTTGCAACTAAGTGAGCTATTATATAATGATGGTGATTTTGAGGCATTTCTCACTCAAGATCTGATGATGCACAACGCAAACTGGGCGAATTATGTAATAAAAGGAAGTTGCAAATTTAGTTCTCATTTTCTGAAATTCTGTCATATTATTTACTTCAAACATCTACGTATTATTAACTTCACATATTTTAAATTACGTGAAAATGTATGAATCTTCGCTCTTTAATTGCGCAAATATTCGTAACAATATAAAAACAGTACATAGTGATTTTCCGATATATGTAGTCACAAGAATACTAATGCTTGTGAAAGTTTGAGTTCAGAGTGCTATAAATGTCACAAACCAAGTTAATTTGTGAATATTAACCCGCGTAAGAGACGCGGAGCGATATGATTACACCATAAACGATATTATGTTATTACCAAAAGCACGGAAGGAAGTTAGACCCGAGTAAGTCTTCGTGTTTCTCTCCCTAAACATTCGTGTTATTTGAAACTCGGTAAACTAATCGCCCGAGGATGTAAAATATATCATAAACCATAACACAAAAATCAAATATTTATAATATCTCTTAATTGTATCTTTCGATATTTGTGAAATTTGCCTCGCGCAATTCGATCTCTATGCTCATGTGTAAAAAATTTGCAAATAGATTCAAAGAATCTCCATTGATATACAAATCTTTATTGCAGCGCGCTAAAAAGTTTTGTTTTTTTTAATTCTAAATCATAAATTCCAAATCGTAACTGAACTATAATTTATAATCGCTGTTTTTTTCCCCGCAACAAAAGTTTTCACTTCAACACTGGAATCGAGAGTGCTGGATTGGAGGTAATTGCGAACGCACAGAATAATCCCGTCCGAGGTGAAAACCGATAAAGCGAGACGTAATACTGGATTAATGCGAATCGAACGCGATTTCTGATTAATAATTTCAAGGCGACACGCTCGACGTAGCTGCATAATTGGATTCGGGATCGCGCACAATCATCAAAGTTGTAAAATTCTCACGTAAGATGTATATTTTAATAACGAGAGTTCAATGTTGAACTTTGCCTAAATAAACGTTTTTGCTCCGGACATGGAAGAAAGCAAAAAGATTGAAACAGAACTAAAACAGAGAACATATGTAACGCATTTGAATGGGAAGAAAATCTATGATTTGCAGATGTGAAATTTTACACAAAAATAAACAATAATCCTATAAAAATATACGTCAAGTATATGTGAACAAATATTCAATAAGTAAATTTATACAATAAATATTACATGAAACACATACGTTGTTTTGAAGAAAGAGTTTTCATGTGTTCTAATATGTAGAACAGTCTCTCGATACAGAAACTGGCGTATATTGTAGTATATATATTGTATATTCAAAGTGCGTGCGCGATCGACCTTGATGCGACTTTGACCGAGCGCGCGTGCTGCGTAATATATCCTCTCATATCCCGTTAGTAGGGTCGAAATAAATGATGCGTGCACCTTCCTTCAGATAGCGCAGCGCACCTTCTCACCCTTTCTTTATCTGCACAAAGAAGAGAGGGAAGAGTAATGTATATACAGGGGATGTCTCTCCAACAAAGGTACACGAGAAAAACATCTCTTTAAAACAAATCAACTTTTATAGAGTCACGTATAGAAATTTGTTTTTTTCTTGGAAAAAGTATCGATGTGTCAGTAATTTCTTTTTAGATAGATTTTTACAAATTTTATACTTTTTTTGAAAGAGTCATTATATAACAAAATAATCTTTTTCCTTAGATACAAAAGTTCAATTTTACATTCAATTTAAATCATTAGAGAGAAATAAGATTTATTCAACAATTAATTTAATTAAATGAAATGTACGTACAGACTTGATATATTTATTTTTTGAAAAAACATAAAAACTCTCAATTTGCTACAAAAATAATTTAATATATTTAAATAAACAAAAGTAATGAAGTTATTTTTAGCTTTTTTCAATACAAATACGTTTTTTTACGTTATATCACAGTTCGAATGTGGTTAGTTTTAAAATAACAAGTTTGTGCATATATGAATATATACCAACGCACGATGACGTGATAGGAATATTCAAGCGTACTACGAGAGTCATGACGTAAATTCTTTAAGACAATTTATCCCAATCTGGGAGAGCGGTTGATTTATCATGCAAGATCATCACGCTAGGAGGCAGATATTACGAAAAGTCCGCGGCAAATTAGATACGACCTCGTACAGACTTCAAATGTCATTCCTCACTCGTGTGATTGAAGATTTAAGAAGCAACGCTATCGATTCTTGTCGCGTTTCATTTTTAGATGAGAGGCGGACTATCATTGTGTGCAACACCTCCGACTATATCCGCGCGTATAGTATCGGCTTTTCCCGTCGGGTCAATCGCAGTTTAAATTCCGCGGACGTCGTATATATCGATCTCGTCTCTCTCCTTCGTCTCCCGTGCACGAGATTATACGTAAGACGGTTCAACGAAGATGTCGTGTCACGGCTAATGGAGGTAAGACATTTTCGGCAGAAATACCTCAGCTAAAGTGGTCGATTACCGCCTCGCTGTGTTTCCCACTCGGAGTCTTCGATCCGCTCGTGCCCTAGGATGCGCTTTGAACAATAAATAGACCGAGGTCGCCGAGCGGGGCTGATAGACTTTAAGTACTAATCTCATCAAGGCGACGACGGGACCAGGCGCTAATGCAGTCGGGACGGATATTACTCCGCGCGAACGAGAGATCTTTATTTCTGTAGTCGCGAGTGGGAGAAAAATCGTGAAAAAATCGAGTCCTGTTTCAGCAACGATTTTTATCAACGGTTGCGTT